CACATACTCGTGCAGTTCGCGTCTTCCTTGTTTACACGCGAGGAAGCGCGAACGCTGGCGGTACTCGTAGTTCGCCGGGAGGAACGCGGCTCGGAGCTGTTCGCACAGCTGAGCCCAGGATGTGAAACATCCAGGGGATGTCGCTTCCCGAGTGTACACCCAACTCTTAGCACGACCGCTAAGGTTGGAGAGTGCAAAAGCAACACGCAGTTGCTCGGTCGAGATCAGAGCCGCGTCCATCGCGAGCTCTACTTCTCGGACCCAGAAGTGAAGGTTCTCGCCTTCCTTCCCTTCATACGGCTTTACCTTCAGCCGTATTGGCTTCGGGTGAGGCGGGTTTGCTTCCGCCGCCGGAGCCTGCAGGTTCTCCCGCACATGCGCGATGAGGCCCTGCTCGTACGCGTCGAATGCATTGACGCGCTCGAGCTGCTCAGCCGGTGTTGATACCACCAGGCTCTGCAGGGCCTCCATCCCGAAGATGCCTGCCATCTTCCGAACCGACTCGAACTGAGAGTCGTTCATATGGGAGAAGTCGTTCCTATCCATGGCAACGAACTTCGGAGGTTCAGGTAGTCTACCCGCGATGGCGTGGATTGACTACAAGTGCTACCAAGTGTGACGGGGTCACACAGCACCTTGCGCTAGAGGAAGTTATCTTCCGAGAGTATACAAACTCTCAGTGAACGGCAGTTCACAGGTCCCCTCTTTAATTAAAGAGAGCGAAGTGACCAAAATAAGGTAGATTGTAAACTGAGTATATTTATAGGTAGGTTAAGTTTGAGGTTAATACAAACTATCAGTTACCTATAGAAATGCAAGGTCATTTAACCAATGGTTGGTTTTGAATGACCTTGGTACCTTGTACCAAATATCCCGGAGTATGACATGTCATACTCCTGAAGTGTGAAGTGTCACACTTCATGTAACCAGGTGCTACGTACCCCGTTACAAAAGGACAGGGGTAGCTGAGTTAAGAGTTTTTCGAATTTTAGAAATGGCGGGCTGGGAAATACCGGTATCTGTGAATACCTTTTGCGGCCAAAAGGTTGGTACTTCCGTAGCCCAGCATCTCGTGGATAAGCTTAGCACAACTTCAAAAATATGGGGTACGAAGTATGAGATCTCAAATACGGTAATAATACCGGATAGCTGACGGGGGCTTCGATTTATACCGGTTTGTAGTGGAAGTGCAAACGCCTTTTGAATCGAATCGCTCGGACACTGATGGGCGACGCTGCCTTCGAGCCCGAGAACATCGCCGTATGCATCCGCGTGCGGCCCATGAACGAGCGCGAGACGCGTGCGAACGACCAGCCAGCGCTCGCCTGTGTGACAGCGCTGAATGTGGTGTCGCTGACAGATCCCGAGACGGGCGCGCCTATGACAGGCAAAGGCAACGTGTTCCAGTACGATCAGATCTTCGACGCCGCGAGCGACTCGCACGTCATCTATGAGCTTGTAGCGCGCCGTATCGTGCACTCGACACTGGGCGGCATTAACGGCACCATCTTCGCCTACGGACAGACGAGCTCCGGTAAAACGTATACGATGCAGGGAGACGGTGGGATGCCCTTTGAGCCCGAGGCGGAGAGCTGTCGCCTCGGCATCCTACAGCTGGCGGTGGAGGACATCTTCAACTACATCGAGAGCTGCGTGGACCGAGATTTCCTCCTGCGCGTTTCGTTTCTGGAGATCTACAACGAAGTGGTCAAAGACCTGCTAAACCCCAAAGAAAAAGGCGCCAATCTCAAACTCCGAGAAGACCCACGCAAAGGCGTGTATGTCGAGTGTACGGAGGAGATTATCACCAACTATGAGGACATTGTGACGCTGCTCCAGGCAGGAAACCAGAACAGAACCACAGGACAGACTGCTATGAACGACAAGAGTTCGCGCTCCCACAGCGTCTTCCGGATTGTGATCGAGAGTAAACAGAAGGCGGAGCCCAGACGACACTCAGAGGAGGACGTGAACGGCGCTGTGCTGGTGGCGAGTCTCAACCTCGTGGACCTCGCAGGATCCGAGAGCTTGCGATACACTGGCGCTGAGGGCATTCGACAACGAGAAGCTGGAAACATCAACAAGTCGCTCCTGACACTCTCGCGTGTGATTAATTCCCTCGCGAGCTCTGGAGGGGGAGGACAGAATGCGCCATTTAGAGACAGCAAGCTCACGAGGCTACTACAAAACTCTCTGGGCGGCAACACACGCACACTCATCGTCTGCTGCGTGACTCCGAGCGACCGATTTATTGAGGAGACCAAGAGCACGTTGCAGTTTGCAGCTCGAGCCAAGGCTATCCAGACATCCGCTAGAGTGAACGAGGTGCTGGACGACCAGACGCAGCTTCGACGTCTCAAGCGAGAAGTGCACGAGCTCAAGAAACTCGTCAACTCGGAAGCTCTGAGTGCACTGAAGGCGGAGAACGCAGCGCTGATCAGTGAGAAGAACAACAAGCAGAAAGAAATGGCCAGACTCATGGGACTCATCGTCTCGAGCTCTTCAGTGACCAAACCAGTTGTTGGGACAAAGCGCAAGCAACGCACGCGAGAGACGTGGGGGCCGGGGGATTTCCTGGCCAATGCCAAGGTTTTGGGTCCTATACTACCTCCTCGGAAACGTTATTCTGCAGCTAAAGCGAACGTGGACCCTCAGACTCTGCTCCGAGTCTACGAAGATGACGAGATCGCGGCCAAGGAAGCTGGAAACCCTGCGTTGGACTTTTCTGGAAGCAAACAATTCGATGTTCAAGGCGGCGACAGCAGCAAGAACGTGCTGGACCTCTTTTCGGCTGTGTTCCGAAGCAATCGAGGTGGAGACCCTATTGCAGCAATGGAGAGGCTGGCGAATGAGAAGAGTGGTGGTCTTGATGACATTGAACGTCTTCTTGTTTTTGCTGTTTTGGCCGAGATGAGGAGCTTGATGGCGGAGAAGAAAGCTGCTCTGGATGGAAAGTTGGAGCTGAGAGATCTGCGCACGAAGCTGGACGACGGGAATACCACGACGGATGCCCCCCCTGAAGAGCTGAAGGTTCAGTTGGTGTCCACGCAAGAGCGATTAGCAGCAGAGAAGAGTCACAATCAGGAGTTGACGGCGCAGAAGGTGAATCTTCAGCAAATGGCAGCAGAAGATGCGGACGCTCGTCGCTCTCAGGTGGAGACACTGAAGCTCGAGGCCCTTGAATCTCGTCGACGTTTTGACTCTGAGAGACGCCAACTCGAAGCTTTGCTCGAGTCAGAAATCCCACTGCCAGATGCGGAGCAATACATCCAGTTACGCAGCAGAAAGGAGGAGCTGGAGACGCTTGTGGAGGAGCTTGAAGCATCGCAGACTGTTCTGCAACTGGCGGTGGCAAAGCGCGACGAGGAGATTGCTTCGGTGAAGGCGCGAGACACTGAAGCAATCCTGAGGGAGCTGCAGTCGCAAGTAAAAAGCTTGGAGGAAGAAAAGACCTTGCTGGAGCTGAAAATTCAAGAGCTGGAGAGAGAGCAGAGCGCGTCTACTGCTGGCCAAACCAATAACGCTGTTGTGAAACAACTCGGTGAAGAATTGCTGACCATCCAGCAGGAGATTGACCAGGTGCGGTCCGATTACGAGAGAACGGCGCAAGAGAAGGAAAAGCTCCAAGCTGAGGTTGGGAGAAAGACGTTGGAGAAGGTGGAGCTCCAGGAAGAAACGAAGAGACTAGGCGACGAGCTCGAGACTTTGCAACGCCAGAGCTACGAGATGGGCGAGACTGTGGTTGAGAAGGAGCATGTAGCCAAAGTGCTGAAGGCGCAGTTGGACGCAAAGATTGTGACGATTGCTCAGATGCAGACGAAGCTCGAGACGCTACAGCAGAGCGTCCAAGACCTCACGGGCGAGAAGGAAAAGCTTCTGGCTGGAATCCGGGGAGTTCCGATCGCTGCAGCTGATAAAGAGGCCGAGACAAACGAGTCGACCGAGTGCATTCTTACCGAAACACTAGACGCGGAGAAGGAGACTGCCGAACTGCGCTGTCAAGTGGAGAAGCTGACCGAGACGCTTGCTGCGGTCAAGTCAGAGCTGGCGAAAACGACGAGGGAGAGCTTGAAGGCGTCGTCAGAGGCTGCTACCGAACAGAGTGAGCTTCAGGCTGCGTTCGAGAAACTGCAGGCGGACTTCGACGCTTTGAAGCAGATCAGCTCGCCCACAGAAGAGGAGGATTATGACAAGATGTCCGAAGCGTTGGAGACTGCGTCACGTGAGCGCAAAGACTGCCTGGAGGAGCTTCGAGCTGTGGAGTCACAGCTGGTGGAAGTATCGGAGGAGAAGTTGAAGCTTGCAACCGCTGCAGATGAGCAGGGTAGAAAACTGCGTGACGTGAAGCAAGCGTTGTCCTCCTCCTCGGAGACGATTGCATCGCTGCAGATGCGGCTGGAAGAAGCCCAGTCAACTGTTGCGAGTCTGAAAAGTAGCAAGGCTGAACTGGAGCAAAGCCTTTTGACCAGGGAGCAGATGCAGCAGCGTCTTGAAGCGGAGTCCAAGCAGAGCAAGAAGCTCCGCCTTGACGTGCAGTCGTATGAGGAAATGCTGTCTGTACTGCGCAAGGAGGCCAAGGACCGCTCAGCCATCATCGCAGACCTGCTGGAGAAGATGAAGAAGCTGAAAGCGACTGTCGACGCGGCCGCTCTCGCTCAGCGGCAGAAGGAAAAGGAAATAGCGACGCTGGTGGATGCGCTGACAAGGTCTGAGGAGGAGCAACAAGAGATGCGACTTCAGAGCAAGCAGCGGCTTGTTGCGGCGGAGAGGAAAGAAGTGGCGTTGGAGGAGAAGGTTGCGTCACTCGAGCAGCAGGTGACGAGTTTTTTGGGTGGTTCGGATGCTGCAAGTGGGAGCGAGCTGCAGAAAAAGCTGGAAGCAGAGCAGGTGGAGACGGCGAACGTCTACAACAAGCTGGTGGAACTTCAGCTGGCCAAGGAAAAACAGGATAAGCTCGTGGAGAAGCAGACGGCGCGTCTGGAGAAGCTGGAGAAGGTGAAGATGACGACTGATATCCTGGAACTCTTCCAAAAACTGATAGCGGACCGAGAGAGCCTGCAGGCAAAGGTTCAGGAGTTGAAGAAGGAGTTAGCTCGAGCTCAACAGGCCGTGACGGATACTGACGAAGAGAGCACAAAACCGTCGGGGGTGGAGAACAAGGGCGAGGAAGTGAAGGCGTTGAAGGAGCGGGTTGCCGAACTGGAGGAGGCTTTGCGTGCTGAGAAGCGCCACGTGGCAGAACTGACGACGGAGATGCGACACGCGCTCAAGGACGAGCGGGATAAGGCCGACCAAGAAACTCAGGAGATGCAAAAGCTGGTGAAGGAGAAGTTGGAAAGAGCGGAGACGCTGGAGACGCAGTTGGCGTCGGGGGGGGATGCGACGGCGAAGCTCCGTGAGCACAAGAGCGAGAGGGTGACATATCTGGAAAAGGAGAACGTTCACCTCCACGTGGAGAACCGTGAGTTGAAGAGGCAGTTGAATTCGACGGCGTTAACCGAGAAGGAGGATCTCATGGGTGACACAGGAACATATGACACGTCGGCCGCTGCGGCTGTGGAGGCGCTCGGCGAGGATAATGTCGATATCGCCAAAGAATCGGAGAAGAATGTGAGTACCAACACCGCTGAAGGTACATCCTCGACGCAGCAGGAAGCAGGCGACACCAAAGCAGAAGGATTCTTGCTGTCAACAACCGAATCGGACACGATCGCTGCTCAAAGTAAAAAAGAAAACAAAGAAGGAGAGCGACTAGAGTGCTCCCAGCAGTAGAGAGAGAGGACGAAGAAAGCCGAGCCAGTGCGTTTTACGTGTAAATAGTCGAGAGGAATTTCCATATTTCAGTTGGTGTCAGAGACTGCTATGTTTCGTCCTGAACGTGCAATTGGTTAGCCCATTTTTTTTACAGCATCGCCCGTGATTACGAAAATAGGATTGCCATGGCATAGTTTCTTTGAAACTATGCCAAGTCACGCGTGGTAGTGGTTAACCCCAACAAATTTTGTCCTTAATAAGAGGACCAAATCGTTTTTGGAGCGCACAAAGTCACGTCACTTTTGTCCTTAACCCCATTTTTTAAGGACAAAAAAGAATGATGGTCACTCCGCTAGCGTGCGTCGCCCGCATTCCGCATTCCGCATTCCCGCAGCGCTCGTCGCGCTGCACGTTTACACAAGCACCCAAGGCATCATGTCTGACAGCGAGTCGTCTGAAGAGGTTCCGTACGTCTTTGGATCCGACAGCGAAGACGAAGAGGAGGTCCTGGGATCCTGGAAGTATCCCAACGTGATAAACCAGCGCATTCAAGTAGACAATGTCGATGCGTTTTTGCTGGATAAGACACGTGAAGAAGCTGGCCAGGTCGCTAAAAGAATATTGCAGCGAATGTTCGGTACTACACAGCATCACCTCGACGGTGTTAGCGTTTCCAGTTTCCTGTTCGTGTGGCTGGATTCGACTGTGCTGGCAAGGCTCCTGATCTTTGTGAACAGGAGCCTGGCTGATTATGCAGCAGCATCTACAGATGACATCTACAAGTTTCTTGAGGTCGAGCTGTGGCTAAGTGTTTATGGTGTAACCCCGGACTTCTTCTACGACGAGAGCAATAGGGCTCTGTATCCACCTGCTGAAGAGGCACTACCACTGCCCAGATATCGCGCTATTTTGGCAGCTTTAAGTGGCAATCCGTTTACAAAAGAAGGAGGATCCGACCAATGGACGGCACCGCTCACACCTGACAGAGACATCTCTTATGCATACGAACTCACACGGCGACTATCCGCAGACATTGGTTTTGTGGATGGAACAACGATAGCATCATTAGATGATGATTTGATCCGCTTGCGCTCAAAGGCAGTGGACGATATTGGCCTTACGCACGTGCGCAACCCGAAAAAGGGGTACTGTACTTAATGATCGTGTTGCTGTGAGGTAATTGATCTTACCAAGCGAATTTTTGGCAGATACGGCCCAGTGCAGCATGGCGTGGTATCGCTGGTTACAGGCTTGTTTTTGGGTGGACATGTGGCTGCCAACGGCTAATCAACCGTGGACATTGTGAGGATTCTTCAGAGATCACTCTGTGGATCATCGACGGAGAACCAAATTCGACTACCAGGTATTCTTCACGCGCTGGACAGAGGTTATCAGTCTCATGCTGTCAACCAACAAATTGTTGACACTGGTGGAAGTATCATCGGTACCCATAAGCGCACACAAACGTTTCCCTTTACATTTGGCAAAACACCAAGTCAGTACCAAAAATTAGTATTAGAGAAAGAAGATCGTGCTGCGTATTGGGCCATCAAACGTATACCAGTTCAACCAGGGATGCTTCCTGCAAATGCACACGCACTTGCATACCGGTCAGGGCTTGGAAAAGTGGCATTAGGCTACACAACGTTTGCCAGCGCGGGACCTGATAACTGGTCTTATGTATCACGGACACTGAAGCGAGTCTCACTTCGTAGGGAGGAGTTGCTTACAGCTTTTGAAGACGGTATTCAGAAATTGACGATGGAGCAAAGAGCTACAGATTGGTTTTTACTCAGGAAGTTTCGCATTACGGGCTCGGTTGCTTCAAAAATATTTAGCGCCATTGCTCACAGTTACGGTGATGGTAACCGAGGTGATCCAGTCGATGATCCTGATGTTCAGGCAGTGATACTGCAACTGTCATTGGGAAGTAATCGCCAACAGCCGGGTCCCTTCCAGACCAGAAGCAGTGAAAACGCAGGAGCACCGCTGCTTGAGGCAGAGCTAATCGTGAAAACGCTGGGAGATCTAAAAACCTTATGCCGTGACCTGGGACTTCGTGTATCTGGAAACAAAGCAACGTTAATTGCTCGACTTCTTCAAAATGATGCTGGGGAGGCTCTTCCTGGTCGCAATATTCGGCGAGATTCTAGATATGCAGTTGACTCAGCCCTTTTATCGACTTGGTTCATGGCGCCGTTTTCAACACCATCTACAAAGATTGGGACCGCCAACGAAGTCAATATTGCCTCGCACATCACGCTATTTCTGGATATACACACACACTATCATATCGAGGAGCTCAGAGAATACGGTTTACTGTGCAAGTAAGTGAAGCAAAATAATAATCGGGTCTGACAAGAAACTAATTTTTTCTCTAGGAGCAATATGCCAGTAGCTGCTTTCTCACCGGATCATATTGCTGCCATCGTGTCTGTGCGATGTGGGAGATTCAATGCAGTAATGGAGTACAAAACTCGAGCTACTGCTCGCACAGTTCAGCAGGAACAAGCTGCTGCTAAAGCTTATGGTATATTCACGACAGTAGAATTGACTGGTATGGGATCCGGCTTCCGATTGAACGCAGTGATTCCAGAGTCCAGTCACCGCCTCCAGATACTGCACAGCATTGCTTGCAGTGGGATCACACATGGATACCTTGTGTATGCATCCTCTACATACATCATTCGAGTTGTTCACGTTGTCGTGAGCGAGAGTGCATCTCACACTTACCAGAGTGCATTGAAGGCAATTGCGTTGGGCTACATGGAGTGGGTTTACACAGAAACCGCCAGCATTCCCGAGTTTGAAACTGAGCAATTAGGACACTGTGTTGATCAAGCCACGCTGGTACAAACCCTGGGGTTATGGAGGGCATTAGTGAAACTTATCAACGAGCGGCAAAACCCACTCCCTCCAGCCAAGCATATCATGCCAACTTTAATTGCGTTGTGGAATCGTGTCAAGGGGGGGATCGATGTCTATTCAAGATATCTGAAGAATGTCAAGTCCAAGCATTTCCGACTGACACCTAGTGCAACAATTTGGCTTCGTCTGCTCATGACTCTAGTGTACAATGCCTACCAGTCGTTTCTGTTATTCCAGGTAGCTAGCAGCTCACAATTCGCGCGCAGAATATGGGTTCTAACTGTGATTCTTGCAGTCACACGGTTTTTTGATGAATCGAGGACTATGTACAAGCTACAAGGCCTATCAGAAACACAAGCAAAATCTCCCCAGTTTTGCCGCATTTTGCCGAGAAGCTGCCGTTGTGCTTTCAAAGAAGACAGGCTCTCCGCGCCCACTTAGCGATGCTCGAGACAAGGAGAATCGGTCAGGTCCACCGACATTGGAACTTTCATTCGCGTACAACAAACGAAATCACTTCGAGTCATCCACAGAGTGGATTCATCTTCGGCTCTCTAAAAGTAATGATCACCATGAGGTACGGGACAATTGTCGCTTCATCTGCTCATAATAATGTATCCAATCAAACCGTTCAACTACAGGTCCGGATCCAGGGTGCACGTCAGAGATGCTGCATTATCTGCTGTCAAATGAATCACGACAGTGAAAATGGCAATCACACGCGTAAAGGGTACAAAACAAGCTTTGAGTGTGATATCTGCCATGTTTCACTTTGTCGCGCAGCAAGATGGAGTGACGGCGAGTCCTGTTTCGAAATTTTTCATCGTGAAAGGAAGCTGCCAGACCCATGCAAGAGGTCACACCATCTCAAGTCAACCAAGTCAAACGAAAACAGAGCACCGCCTCCATCCAGAAAGCGATCCAGAGTATTGGATCCTCCGAATCGACGAGCACCAAGCGTTCGCTTAACGAACAGGCATCGCCGACGATCATTGCGCTTGCAGCCAGTAGTCAAGGTGACAAGCCGAGCAAACAGCAATTTGTCCTAAACTTTAGGACAAACTTCAGTGAAATCAGTCTTAGGAGTGCAAGATTTCAAGTAGCGTAGTGAAGCCGATTCGATTATCACTGAGTCAAGTTCGTGAAGGATAACGAAGAAGACATGACAAACATTTATCTTGTTCCTTGCATTTGACTATAAATCTGCAGGACACATCAATCAGGGCCACTGAAATTTGGTCCTCATTTTTGTCCTTAAAAAAATCTTGTTGGGGTTAAGAGCCACCCTGAGGGTGGCTCTTAACCACTACCACGCGTGCCATGCATGCCATGGCACTAGAAATTGAGCCATGGCATGGCGTGGTTACGAATAGAATTGCCCTGCCATTGAAAACTATTTTTAGAACATACATTATTGAAGATAAAAGTAGCATGGCACATGGCAATTGCCCTTGCCATG